ACTATTTTAGTATAATGACCAGTACTTCGGTAAAGTGAAACTAAATGTACCATTAATATTAGAATATATAAATTATGCTCATACACTCAAATTGACTGAGATAGACACTTTGTTATTTATATAGTAATAGTTAGACTATACTTCCGATCAATACAAGCGTATCTCATTCTGAAGATGCTAGTAATCTTAAGTGTCGTTATAAAAATACATTGTGTTTTCAATAAATCTTAATTCTTCTATTATTATTGATGCCAAATACTTAACATTTTAATTATATAAATAAGTCATAGTAACAATGTCAAGTCGTAATTCTATTCTGTGGCTGTACACAATCCCGTGTCCCGGGATGTTAAAGACATTCTTTGTCAATCGAATATGTTTATCCCGGCGTGATCCCGCGTTTAGTACGGTCCGGCGACATCCCGATTTAATATTCTATTTTACTCCAATGATAAGATTAAAGTATGTAATTTCTTGTCGGAATGAGGGAGGCGTTTTGTTTACGCACTAGATACTTGATAGGGTTGCCATCACACAGAATTAGAAGATATATTTTTGGTAACTATAAAAATATATCATCATTTATATCCAAACCAATATTTGAGCATATTCAGTAGTTAATGTATTTTTAAATGTACGATAACGCGAAGATAATAATTTCTCATGATGTTATATCTTAGAGAATTAATAAAGATATGTATATATATGTTTGTTTATCTTTCTTTATCTTTTATTTAACCTTTAACGTATATTTCCAACATGGCAGCCCCGTCAATCGTAATAAGAACACCCTCTAACCGCTCCGTATAATAAAGCCCACCCCATTCCTCCTACTAAGATGACGCCCAGTATATTGGACAATTTTCATTCGAAATTCGTGACTCGCTTCACAATTCTCTTATTACAATTTCTTTTTTTTTTACGTGTCCGTTTTTTTTTGTTCGCCATTAATAAATGAATCTAATTTAATGACTTAGTTTCCGTGAGAATATGACTTTTCTATAAAATATTTTCTGATTTTTTTGCAGGAGATACTTTATAGTGTATTTTATTATGAAATTTATTTCCAATAAGATGCTAAGATCTGAATCGATTATCTAATTTGAGTAATAAATAATTTTCTGATATTGAATTGAGAATTTCAAATGTGACTTTGAGTTAATTTTATTCATGTTTTATATAAAAATCATAATTAATATACCAAATATGTATAATATCTTTAAAATTGTTAAAATATATGTTAATAACATTATCAAACGTTCCAATATAACTCTCTAATGTTAATTCGCGTCCCTAACCCTTGCCAAACCGTTGCGGCATGACAAACCAAAACTAACCCTTCGTAATCTTGCTAACCCCCACACACCCTCAATTTTCTTTCACCCCCCGGGGGGTCAAGTCACCCTTAAGATCAATGGTGGGGGATCCTTTGCGATAATGCAGGGTCTGCCCTAAAAAGGGCCCTTTTGTGTCTCAGATGGGTTTAACTTTCGGTCTTGTTTTGACGTGTTGTATAATTAATTTGCTAGTTTCGGACCTTAGTTTAACGAGGGAGGGCAATATATATGTATAGAATGTGCTGATGAATTAACATACTCGTGACTCCTTAACTAGATTATGTACTTATTTATTTAAAGTATATAACAAATAGAAATGACTGTATTTAGATTACGAGAAATGAAAACAATTATTACAAATAAATTTTCCTTAAAGGATTCATTAATGTTTTAGTCGTATGTAAAAAATTTTCATTTGGATAGTACATTATGATGATTTTCAAAAAACTTACTTATTTTTAAGGTCTTTATACTTGATCGCTACTTTATTGAGTACTAGTTTTTGCCCGCGACTTCGTCCGCGTTAGTTTCGTTATTAGTAATATATGTATAGCTGACCGGGCGAACTCTATTCCGTTTTAGAGGCCATTAATAATCAGGTTTCTCCTGTTTCAATCGAACAGAATGATTGACATATTAGTTAGTTGTCAAATCTAATGTCAAAAAAAAACGTCTGTATGGGAAATAGAAAAGGGCTGTTTTTAGGGTTTTCCCGGCAATTATTCCAATTTTTCTCACCTTTTAAACCTTCCCTGGACTTCGAGGAGTATTTCAAGACTAAAATTAACCAAATCCGTTCAGCTGTTCTCGAGTTTTAGCGAGACTAAGGAACAGCAATCCATTTTTATATATATAGAAGATAAATGATATAGATATAGTACTTTTTGTTAATAAGACACGATTATACCTTCAAGTAGCAATAGAATTGTTAAAGGACAAGTTTTTGTTCAGTATTATTGTTTTTTTGTAATATAATGATTTTTACATTGCAATATATACAAATATAGCTAACGGTTATTTTAAAACACATACTGACAGGTTTTGAACTATTCATATAACTTTCTTCTAATACCTGATAGTTCTACTAGTTCCAGCATTCAAAAAGCGTCGGCGTTTTTGGAATACATAACTGAATTAGTCACCCGGATTTTTACTTAATAATTTCACGACACGAATGATAATAATTATTGAACTTAAGAAATATGGCTTGTTAGAAGCGAAAATAAATAACATAAAAAAATCTGCGACAGTTAATTCAATAGATAATATGATTTTAATTAAACGAAACGATTTGCAAAACTAAATACTTATTATTATACACATATAAAAAAACCTTGTTTAAAATAATATTAAATTATAATTATGTTAAGAAAATATTGATTGAAACTATGATTTTATGCTGTTACCTACTTCTTATGCGGTTTTCTAAGAACATATATTGACCGCTATATAAAAGTCGTATATATATATATGTTATATAATTAGAATGCTACATAAAATATATTTTATATCTTACACTAACAATTTCACCCCGTTTGATAAAACGTCGAGTAATTTAAATAAAAGTAAATACCTAGTGAGTAAGTACATAGCAGTTTCTAATATTTTCATGTTTGCACGTCGAAATTAAACACTAGCCAATCTAAACAATCGCCGGTAAGTTTGTTTGTCCCGTTTAATTTCGTTGGCTTATGTAAATAATTTATGTGGGGATAGCAAATTAAGCTTATTCTTTATGTATGTTATATTTATTATAAATTAACTTCATTTTATATTAGAAATTATTATATATAATAGAACAATGATTGTAGACAAAACTATGTGCACACAATGTCTCAGCCCATTGGTGATATTCTATTGTCTTTCCATCTCTTACCAACACCCACAAGTCTGATAGGTGCACCTCCAACACATACAATAAGCATTGTTTTATAAACAATTCAGTATAGAAATGTGAGACAATCGTATTCATTAAGACGCTCTAAAAGACCACTTAGTTACCGACTGTTAGTATTCCACAACCAGACTTTTGTATAAAGTTTATTAAATAGAATATTTATTTTAAATATAACTTTAGAATAAAAATACTGTATTAAATGTCTAGGTATAAATTAAAAATGTATAAAGAGACAATCAAAATTGCTAGAAGTATTTTAGGACGCAAGTACCTAAACTTGTGCTACAAGACCGGTATAATCCTAAAATCTATTATATAGTGACTGTTAACGGGAGAGGAGTAATGAAACATACTTTGTCACAAGTAACCTTTATCACTGCTTCTATCCAGAAAAACTTTTCCAATTACTGAGTCCGTCAAGTGACCCCGCGGGTGCGCACAAACAACTTTTAATTGCTATCCCCCGTTCCAGAAATGTACCGAATGAGAACTATTTAGAACGTTATTTATTACACATGTGTACCAAAAATATAATTATAAACACAATATGCTACATTATTCGGGAATATTTCACCTAATGACGTCACACAAGAAAGTTCCGCTTATGTATACGCCGCCAAAGTTATTCTCAAAGCGTAATGAGAACTAGCGAATGCGCCGTTATTTCCTACATAAACCGGGGGACGTCTAATTTCATTCTGAAGAGGGTCGACGAAAACTAATTTTAGTTACAAAAGCAAATATTCTGATAGTGAGGGAGGGTTTTGTTACCCTCACAAATAACAACTAGCAGTGAAAAGGTATTCGCAGTTGTAAATTTAATTATCGTGTGCACAGAAAGATGTAGGTAGGTACCGATGAGAATTAATTTTACATTCAGATGTAAGACGCCAGAATGTTTATTCACAACACAATATACAGAGGACGTTATATTATTAAAAAAATAAAAACTAAGTGGTAGCGTCTTTCTTGTTTTGAGGCAAATTTAAGTGATTTTAATAATTTAGATAGAGAACGTCTTTAGAATCAGAATCAAACTAGTTTATTATTATGGCTTTGCTATACATTTTGAAATATATCCGCTTATAATAATATACATAAAAATTTAGCATATCTGTTATTTAAGCCACAGTAAGGAAATGTTTCATAGTAGTCATGGTTTATAGAAAACGGATGTGATTTGACTACCGTCACATACAATCTTACAATACAGATATTAGGTATTAGAAAGTTGTACCGATTTAATCATTGATATTTTAAGTCTCTAAATCTAAAAGTATATAAAAATATATAATGCATTACCTTCTATCCGTTTGTTTCACTATTGTTTTTGTTATCTTATAAATACATTTATCAAACAGAAACAGTTTCTTAATTATATATAATTTATATAATTAAGCTCTTCTATTCCTTATATTATATGTTAAAAAATTATTCATTATTTTATATATTTCAGTATTCTATTATATTTAATTGCAATAAAATCGGAAATTGATAGTTTCTTATTTATTATATTATTAATTTAACCTTATTTTGAAAGCTTTTTATCATTTCCAACTCAATCGATATTCAATAACTAAACTATAGTTGTTTTTAAACATACGATTTCCTTTAAACTAATAAATAGATACCATTACTAAAATACATACAAAAGCATGCATTATATATAACATTAAAACTAAACTCCTTTTTGTATACATATAAGTAAATTACCATAAACAATACATTCGTTAAGAAATTACTCGTGGGGTCCAGAACGGCGGATCTTAATTTGACTGTATTAGCAAGTCTTGTGGACCCCAGCCATTAATCGTGAAGGGTCCTAGGGTCGGCGACCCCGAATTAAGATGAGATGGGGTGAAGCCGATCGTTACTTTCGTTACAAAAGGCACCGCTGAATTATTATTACTATAATATTACAAGTTACGATATTACTATGGTAATTAGACAAGGAAGATACATTCATAGGTTCAGAAAGATAATGATTTGGATGAAACTATGTATATGGATGTACATAGTTTCTAAAATAAAACGCGAAGTAAAATCCGAAAATATTAGTTTCATTTAAATGTGTACTCGCGAAAATCTTAGATCTCATTATTAATGATTTGGATGTAAGAATAAGAGAAGGTTTCAATTCATCCATGATTAAGGTACCTTGCTTGATTTGGTTTTTATTTTTGAGGAGTAATTTGTTTCTAGATAGTACTTTTACCGTAATTTTAGGCCAAAATTTATATTATACTTATTCTAAATCTGTTCTATTTTCTATTTTTAATTTTATACACAAACTTTATTGCTGTTTAATATGATAAAATTTTTGTATGTGCAAGAAACTATACATTACTGAACTAGTGATATTTATAAAATAAATAGCAAATGAATATATGGCAACAAGTTTATTGAGATCAGACTAAGTATACGAAATAAAACTTCGAAAAATTTATATGAAAACTATCCATAACTTATGCTTTAATAAGTATACAATGAAAATAGTCTAATGTAGTAATTTGTAAATTAAAAATATAATAATAAAGTTTATTAACATTTTTTTTGCGGTTTCTAAACCGAATGCGGTAAACCCAGTTGCATATAAAACAAAATAAAAGTATTTATAGTTATAACAATATTATAATCTAAATAAATATTAAATAGCTTTATGAGAACTCTTAATTTATCCTCATTTAATATTAAACTAACTAAAAACAGAATCACGTACATTAAACGGAACGCTATATAATACTGAAAGATAAATAATGAGAGCTCCATTTAACTTTATAAATTACTATCTCAGATGGCGGAGCATTTCAAACATATACTTCAAGCAGATATTCTGTTCAGGTAATGTCTGGCTGAATACATTTTAATATATATTTTGATATAATATTCTATATATTCTGTGATTGATATATTCTATATTACAAATGTGTATATTTTTTTATCTGTATTATGTTTCGTATGATTCGTGTGCAAAAATATTCAGCCAGTGTTATTTTTTTTTAATAATCTATATCTAAGCTGTCAGTTTAGATGACAGTAAGAACATAATTTTAGTATGACAAATATCGTAATTAACATTCAAAAAATCTTAATCTATTGATATTTATTTGTATGGTTAAATAGATTAATTATTTAGTTTTATCTCTGTAATAATATTATATCGGATTCATATATATTATAATATATAATCATAATAAATCAACATGCCCATTGAGAATCAAATAGGGGGCGGGGTGAAACTATGGCGTAACTTTCGCAAGCCGTCTGCCATCTTGTATTTTAAACAGTTGTAGCATTAAAATGTGAATGTAAAATACGTACACCATTTCAAATGTAATATCATTGTTATTATTTTTAAAATATATCAATATGTGAAATAATTTTGATAAATAAGTACCTAATTTGAAATAAAAATATCATTTTTATACCCTAACAGATATGTGCCGTTAAAATTTTAACTATTTGATTTGACAACAGGATAAAAATAAATAAAATATATATAATATTTTTAAATTCTTTATCTGATTTCGCCTCTATTTAAACATTTGCTGTTCCATGTTTACTACGTAAATAAATCAGTACATTTTTGTCTAGATGCAGTGTTATTTTATTAATTCCGTTTAAATTACAGTTCGCATATTGTTAATATATTTTTTCTATTCGAGTGTGACGTCATATATATTATTTGTAGTGTACAACAAAGCGTACGTATGCAAGCTCAGTTTATCGGGCGCGGCGCTAGTTTTCTTACAACGTCGGAGTTTTCCGACTCATTTGCATTCAAAAGCAGATAGCGCTGATGTGCTGATACGAGCATACCTTTGTGGTTTCTATATAGTCTAGAAAGTTCTAGAGTTCTAGTTCCGCTAGAGTGGCAGCAGTTGCCAACTTTTACTTGAAGTTAGAGTAATGTTGCGGCAAAAAGCGCTCACGCTAGGTTTAACAATTACCTAAGCAGTCCCGCAAAGTTTTGCACAGTTTGTTTATTCTGTTTTTGTGCGCTTATGTACATTGTTACCAACTCATCTTGTGGAAGCTTATTTTGATTATATATAATATGTAGGTCGCGCGACCATTGTTTGATTCAACGGTTTTCCTTATAACTGAGTGAAGTTACGGTTATACATCGATGTTTTAATCAAATTGTTATAATAATAGAGTTAAAAGATATTGGTTTAAACCTATTTGATACATCGGTAATAGCAGTTCGGTAACCAACATACGAATCTAACTCGTAACGCAAATAAATCGCTTGTCGGCGTTGCATTAGGTAAGGACGATTAAAACTGCCCGAACACACTATGTTTTCAATTACGGAAGGCTCGCGAGATATTCGTTTCTATTAGGGTTGTCATATTAATAATATATGACGTAAAAATAATAAAAAATCACCCAAAATCTTATACTGTAATCAAATACTTTCAAAAAACATTCATCATTAACATAATCTGAATTATAATATTAGTTTCAAGCATAAATCATTTTAATTTATATTTCATAGCTATCAAGAAGTTTAGTTACATTATACTTATATTAAATAAGATTTAAATGTTGTTATGTAATTTACAAATATTTTTTGATACGTGTGTCAACCCTATTCCGTGTTACGTTATTCGCGTGCCTTTACCGCCATTCCAAAGCTCTCGCGCCATTCAACGCCATTTCGCACCTTCCCGTCCTAAGTTCTAGATTGTTCTTACACAATATTACATTATTTATATATTATTATATGGTGTATAGACAATATTATCTTCTATGTCAAGCTTAATTATTATTTTTTAATTAATACAGGAATCTAAGATATGCAAGACAAGTGTCAAATTGACATAAGTCAAGTTGACAGCTCTTTTAAAAATATAAATGTTGAAGTTTGTGGTGACTTTTTTTTTTTAAGAAAAAGTACACGATTTTCATCTTCGTGCCCTAGAGACAAGGTTCCAGTTAATTATGTAGGTTAAATGGCTGAATGATTTAATTTCAAATATATGTAGAAGAAACTTCTATAAGCGGATCATAAAATGTGAAAAGATAAATTCTGATAATAAATAAACAATTTTAACACGCTATTCTTATATGAGTTATATGAGAGTTAAATGAGTTATTATTAATTTTCATTATATATAGATGTAAATCAACTAAAATTTTAGGTCCCCCCGCTACGAATTACGCAAATTAATCACACGCACACACATACAAGTACACCTCACACACACAAGCAAATGACCTGAATACATAAACGCTGGATAAAATCGTTGATAATATTTTTATTAACTAATTCTGTGGAATTAAATTTAACGCTGGTAGTATCATAGGTTTATTTTTAGATATAGTAAATGAATAATTATACAATGACATTATATATAAATACTTAATAATCAAATTATAATCTGTGGTAGATATATGACAGTTGTAATCATTAGCAACAAATAAAAAAACGCATATAAAAATCCAGTTTCATACGTTCTGCATATCCCATGTTTTATGGTTAGCCATTGCGTATATTAAAAAAATCTAAATTTATACTCTGATTTAATAATACTTTGACACTTCCAGTAAAATATTACATAACTCCCACACATATAAGGTCTAAAGATACGAGCGAAGGGTCGGTAAGGATACGGCAATAATGAATCCGGGAGTCACAATTAAAGAGGGGAAGTGCGTGCGGGCGATCTTAGAATATAGGGGGGAATCGGGGAAGTAGGGGGAATCTGGCAATACGGGGAAAGGGGGGGGGGTTGAACTCATTTAGATAATTTAACATAGAGATTGCTTTGGTGATTTTCTCGTTACGATTTAAAAGATTCTTCACGCATCGATAAAGATTCTTATATTTTATATAAAACGATTTGGTTTAATCTTTGAAATTATATGTAATTTGATGGAAATTTTGTAATCAATTAGATAAACGAAAACGTTACGTTCTGTCTCTAAATAAGGTATAGCTTATCCTACATACATCTGGTCTTAATTAAGCTAAAAAAAGATGCTATTTCTGAGTCAGGTGACAGTTTTGTATGATATTATCTCATAGTACATTTATCGTAATTTCTAATTGATTCTCAATAGACAACATTACTGAAGCTACATCAGTGTTAGTACAAGTTTACATAGTTAACTAAAAACCTACAGTTTGACGTTTTTGAGTAATATTTTGTCCTACTTTTCAATGATAAACGATTAGATTTCGTAATGAGGGTAGTTTAGTATAAAGTTTAATTCTCTAACTATATGTCTTTAGGTATTATAATTTGCTGTTCGTGTCTAATAGATAACATATGTTTTTATTCATATATACCAATTAATATAAAATTAATGTCTGTCTGTTGTATTAAAATAAAGATATTTTAATAAATGTACATATATGAATTCTTACAAGTTTAAATATTTCTTACTGAAACTAAGTCGCGGCCGATACTAGTTATCAATTTAATATAAAAAATCCAATACATCTAAAACTTTAATCATTTTTTGAATCATGTAAAATAAACTAAATATCATTTCTCTTAATTACGTCATATGTCAGTCATTTCTTATACTATAATATAATGAATAAATTTAAACTAACTTCTGAAAAGTAGCCGAAACGTCGGGAGTATGTTGTTTTTTAAAACTAACTTCTTCTTATCGGTCCAACACCTGACGGAGCTAGATTTTATCTCATAATCTTGGATGCTGGCCAAATCCCCGAGGGATGATAACTTGATTCTTGGCGACGATGGCTTCGGATTAAGACGGATTTGAATTTTGATTCCCTGAAAATAAATTTTAAACAACACATTAATACCTACATATAGTTTCGTGGTCGTAATTGTATGAAACAACATATTTTATTAGAATCTAAATTAACTTTTTAATGTTTATTAGAAGATTTTGTTGAGATAACTGTCTTGTCTAAATTACAAGTTTTTTTTTTATATATTTTGATATTACTTATTCTGTTAACACTCATTAATACATAAATTGTATAATACTATTCTGTACAATACTATTCTCTTATGTCCATATCGTAGCTAAGAGATGCCACGTGACGTTTCCTGAATCTATTCCTACTAAAATATTTAATTTACGACCAAAAGGACGTCATGAATTTTTAAGCATAAATATAAAAAGTCTGTCAATATTATTCTGTACACAAAACATTAATTTTTCTCATAACTTAAAGTTAAAATATACATCCTCCTTTATTCGACATCGGCAGGATGAACTATGAACTTAGTTTCACGAATCATATGAACAATAAAAAAAAAACAATAAATTGAATTAAATCACATATCAGTTTTACAATTTGAAGTACAGATACTCAGTGAGGAGTAGCCGCATCAGTGGTTATCGTGGGGCGCTAAAAGTTCTCGCTTCATTGGAACTCGGAGGCAATGAACCGGTTTCTGAGATCAAAGATGTCACGTGTGACAGATACATATTGTTGTTTTATTGTTTATACTATAACAAGGACTATAGATAATATTTTAACCTTATTATCCATATATATAGGAATTAAATATAAAATATATTAGTAATTGATGATATATAAAGTAATGTTTATTGTTTAACAGTATTAAAACAATAAATATTAATAAGTGTTAATTAATCATAAATATTTATTAAATAAATTTACATAGATACATGGCAACACTGATAGAAAGTTCCCGACGTCGTTTTGTATCATTTCCTCTTCACTGAGATCCAATCAGATTTTTTTTAATAAGTCATCTTTCAGGCGGACAGTTTTTTTGAATTTTAAATCACTTTATTTTTTTACGTTAACTTGCTAGTCCCTGTTTTGATTTTCACTCATTTCGATGTTTTTAAATTGTTTCCTATTAATAAAAACTTTCTTAAATTTTGTGGTACATTTAATGTGTCAAAGTAGGCTATATAATGAATGACGTAGTTGCGACGGAAACAAGCATATTAGAGTTAATAAAGGTAAGTCAATATTAATAGTGTCATCAAAATATATTCTTCAAATATTTTCAAATCATTATACATGAAATGAAATATATGTAATATGCAAACGCGTTATATACAATCATTACACACTAAAACTATATAATATCATACGTAAAAACAAAAATAGTAATAAAAAAATAAATAAATATATAAACTATGGAATACAACTAAAAACAAAATGGCCGCTTGACGGATGCATCATTACACTAGCGAAAACCGGCGATCAATACGGCGCAAAACTTAAATTCGTCCCCCTAAGAAGGTTGGCCAAATTCGTATGTTAATACTCTCATCCCCTTGTACTTGCCCACCCTCGCCCGAGGGAACCGACTCAACTATTATAAAGGGTAGCACGAAAGTTAGATTAATGATGTTAGGAGCTGACCAGCGTACAGACCAAGGCGGAATTATGGATTCTAAGCACTTATTAAAACCTTTTTTGACGATTTATTTTTTTTTTCTTTTTTTTATTTATTACTTTTTTCTCAAATGCGTTTATCACCAGTTACATTAATATTAATTTTATATAAAAAAATAGAATAAAAAATCTCGGATTGTGGGTTTAATATATGTAAAAATGGTTAATTATGAACATATTTTTTATTCGTGTTTATTTTTTTTTTATATTACTTAAAAAAAAACATTCGAACAGCGCCTGTGTCTTTACAGTTTCTATCGAGGCTCGGCGGTAAAGTGTGGACGATCTAACTTCGCCTTACACACACACATACACACACACACACACACATACATACACACACACCCACACTAACATTCCGTTGTAATGTTCAGTTCACATGGGATTAGATACGATAAGTCCAAGCACACAGGACACTGTGTCGCAAATTCGCTAAGTGACTCATGGAAATGAAACACAGTGTCGCCTAGCTGGAAAATGATTGTTTTGAATTAGTTTGTATATACGATAGACGCTCTGAAATGACGTAATTCAGTTACACAATATATAATTAGAAGATAATTAATTTACATACATTTTGTACAGAGATTACTAATTTAAAAAAAAGTATTTTCTATAAATAAACTATTTTATAAACAAATGAAAATATTAATATTTAATATAGTCTTTGTTCTTGTTATTAAACGTCTGTTAGTTATATTTATGAGTGGAATCCTAGATGCAGCTCATGCATACATTCGATCTCAAGTGGCTTGCCTTCCATCGGATGAGTTGAAGCAGTTATTCGCAGACAAAACATACTACTAAAATCCATACGAAAAAATATACATATAAAACAAAAAACTACGATAATTATTATCTTAAAAGCTGAAAAAAATTGATTCATTACTGGGAAATCCATAAAAACAGCCCTTTTCTATTTCCCATACAAACGTTTTTTTTGACATTAGATTTGACAACTAACTAATATGTCAATCATTCTGTCGCACTTCAAAACACGGAGATTTATGACTTATAGGTAAACTCCAAAAATATATGTAAATAAAAAAACGTAATAGATATTTCTTGATTATAGGGCGATACGAAGTTCGCCAGGTCTTCTAGTAGTCAAATAAAAATAGACATGTTGAATTACTTAATAAAAAGGATATTCGATAAAACCAGTTCAGTATCAAAGTTCAACGGTCAAGTTTAGGGTTGAATGTCGAAGGTCGGCGCATGCGTAATGATGGGAACTATATGGCCACATTATAATTTCAATTGAACTGTGATCTCACGCTGACCGGTTCAAGATGCTCATCTCCCTACATGAATAAATCCATTCAATATATTGTAAATTTATGAAAATTTAACGGCATCCTATGATATTTAAATACATTCTCACGTACATTAATATAAATTTTCTTTCAATAATATGTATATGTCTTGTACTAACTAACACCCAAATTCGTCCGCGTTTTAAACGAAACTACACACACATTCAGAAAGTGTCTTCGTACGTTTTCTATGACGTTGGATATTTTGAATATTATGCGGACGAAATTCTAATCATATTCGCATTTTGGATGTATAAAAAGTGACTCTTAATGACCTCGTTATAGGGATTATAATGCCTTATCTTTTTCTGTCTTGTCCGGTAAATCGGACGTAATCGAATTTGAGGGTGAAAATCGGTTTGTAACGTAAGTCATTTAGCGTTAATTCTATTGAATAGATATACATATTCTTGTGTTAAATGACGATGTTTTGGAATAAATATAATTATATTTCTTTTATTATTTGGATTTCACACAAAGAGTTGCGTATGTTGTCTAGTTAATATATATATAACATAATTTGTTCAACTATGTCTGAGGCGGTGAAGGAAAACATCATGAGGAAACCTGGACTTATAATTTCACAATTATAAGTTTGAAACCACTAATCCGTCTTGAGCAAGTGTGGTGATTAATGCTCAAACCTTCTCCATGTGAGAAGAAATCTTTGCTCATCAGCGGGCTCTAATAAGTTGATGATGATGATGATAATATGTCTCATGTTTTTAACAAGAGTAGTTTAGTTTTATTTCATTTCATATACGAGATTTATTAATAAATGTCTTATTTCTTATATTTTTCCATAAGAACATTTTAAGAGCATTTAAATAGGTGTAGGGGAGCGGGGGGCCAGTTGTTACAGGGGTAAGAAGTTACACGCATTTTTTTCCGGGATTTTCAACTCTTTGGTAGACGTAAGTGGACTCATGTGTTTTCTTATAACATCGTGCGTTGCAAAAAAACAATCAGGGACCCGCCCAGCGGCAAACTGTTAGGTTATGTGCACGTGTCTCCATTTCCATCAAGTTCGTAACAAAATCTTTTACGAAATTTTTGATTCCTGCTGTCTATATTTGTTATTCTCTAAATTCTTTTCGCCTCGAATGTTCATAATGTATCGAGTTTTAATTTGTAATAGCGTTTTATTCTGCTATTGATATCTATTAATGGCGGCTTTAATTTTAATTAAAAAACACACCATGGGGCAGGTTGTTACAGTTTTTCGGGGTAGGTTGTTACATGTTACGACTTGCCTCAGATCTTGTATTACCGTTCATCTCATTGACTATCATTTAGAAATTACTACGCTGTACTTAAAAATTAGAATAAATGGAAAGTGAAAAAATTAAATCATACAAATGAAATCATACAGGCCATCGAAACAGCAACCAATCTATTACCTGACACTATTAACAATATAACTGTTTCACCTTCTCCAAATCCAGCTTGTTCGCAAGATATAGAATGTTTAACAACATTACCGAGTGCAGATTCGTCAAGTTTTAAAAATAAAATTGAATTAGAGATACCAGGTCCATCTGGTATACAAAGTACATTTGAAAATTTGTCGCCTTCAAAGATAAGGTCCTTTCCCAAGGCAGAGGCTCGAAAACCATCCATCCATAACCGTCGTAAACGTAAGTCCGCTGTATTAACCGATAAACCAAAATAATCGAAATAAACGATATATAAGATTTAAGAAAGTTCCTGCCAAAGTTATGTGATTATTACCGTTAAAAAGTTGGAAAATTACGATATAGATATTATAATTGCTCAGAAATGTTATAAGACTGATCAAAATAGTTTTTTTTATTCATAACGTTTTGAAATAATAAAAAATAAATGATTTATTATTGTTCATTTTGTTTATTTACCTACTGTAACATCGTGCCCCGAAGCTGTAACAACTTGCCCCAAGTCAGGGGTAAGTTGTTGCAATCGACTTTTTTCATTAATTCTCTATTTTGGGAAAAATTACGTAAATTTTAATATTTTTCCAATTGTATTCTACTAGCTGAATAGACACACTAATGGTAAAAGTAATCAAATGTATACATTTTTTGATAGCTTTAGTGATATTAATAATTATCCAAAAATTGTAACAAAGTGCCCCCCGCTCCCCTACCTATCAAAAGAATATAGGTATTATCAATACAATAATATAAATAATTTATATACTTTACTTACAAAAGAAAAACTATTGATCATAGTGTACATAATGTTAATAGATTATTTATATTTTATATTATATGAATGACATTTAATTGTTATATTTTAACCACCACTAATTAAGGGGTTACTCTTTCCTTTTTTTTTTTGATTTTTTTTTCTAATCAGTATATATATAGTGCAGTGTCTAGACGATAAATTAACTTTCAGTATAAACCATAAAAACCGTTATCAAATGATTTAATTCGAAGTTTTAATGTTAGCTGTTAAACTATTTATAGCTCACAGGGGGATTCTAATTTTATGGTTTTAGACGTTGGACGTTTTAAATACATATATACCTATTAATTATAATAGAAATTTATATCACCATTTAGAAAACAATTACGGGAATGAAATTTTTTAAAACAATTTTCTAGTAAAATGACTTTTTCTATTTGGTTTTTTAATTCTATGTTTTGTTTAGACAAGATACAAGTTCTCTCCGCTGGCTTGGTCCTAAAACGTAGAACGACTGAGTATTGAAAATAAACTGACAAGAATGAGTACACTCTCAGTGTATGTTTGTTTCTTATGTTACGATATTTAAATTGTTGTACATGTGATGTAAAATTTTAATAAAATTTAATATAGATTTGATGTAGTATGAAGTACAATAGAACATTGTAACGATTTAGATAATTCAATAATATTATGAGTCTTTAGATGAAGTATGAAGTATATATATTAAGCAATAAAGAAATATTTAAATGAACTCATTTATCCTAAAGTATAATTTTCAATTAATCTTTTCAGAGAACAGTCGCGAAGCTGCCAGCATTGTTCTAATCCAGCCTCCTCATAATGGTAAGTTTTATATTATTAATAACTACTAGGTATTTTTTAAGAAAATCACGAATTAGTAGTATATATGTACCAAAAACTGTTAATAACTCATGAATAATTGTATCTAAGTTACACAAAAAACATCGCATTCTTCGACGGATAACGGAATTATAATCTAGCTATATTAAACAATACATTTAAAAATTAAGATAACTCACTTATAAAATAACAAATAAAACATAACTTAAATTCGAAACAAAATAACTCTAATTATAGTATTAATTAAATATATGAAAAATACCAATAAGTTTTATATAATGTTTTGTTTCTTCATACAATAATATTTCTTAATGGTGTATTTCCAGATGCAGCATCCATTCAAGATGATCTGAGCTTCATTAATTGTAAGCCCGTCAACCTCTCTTCCGTGCTACGCTACGCTTCTGCTTGCAATTGCGCTTCGGTTTTTTTGTAACAGCATAATTATGACAGCATATTATTTTACACATACAAATCAGTTAAGTCTTAAAAAGTAATATACTCGTTAGGTTATGCATTGGCATATTCTCGAAGTTCTCAATTGAATTACATTTACAGACCTTTCTAGATCTTTCTAGAACTTTCTAGAATGTCAACAACCACATCATTAAAAAAAATGTCTTTCGTAACATATAGTCAGTTAAAATTTCTTTAAAATTTCTAATAATTCGATTGCATTTAATATTCACTTCATTACATTGCAATTTCTTTAACAATTTTTCTACTTTCAAGAAACAAATACAGATCGGGATTAGTTCTGGATGAACAACACACAACACTTGTATTAGGTATATGCAATACCTTTTTTATTATAGGTAAATATATTTAAATTACCCTGTAGTTAAATGAAAATTATAGGGAGATATATACCTCAAAAAACATTATCGAAACTATGAGTAAAGAAAAAAAAATGCAATCTAAGACTTTCCCAACTATTCATTTAAATGAGACTAATATTTTTCGGATTACTACGCGATTTTATTATTGTAAAAACTACATACTCTCGACTCTTTTTAAGTATTAGTTTCATTTAAAGAAAAAAAAATTAAGGAATAAATAAATATATTTTATAAAGAAATATTGTTTTATTTGCTTTACCAGCTGAACGCTTGGACAGGGCTTTGCTTACTTTCAACTTGTAATGAAAATTTTTCTTTCTCTTTAACCTTATTAAATTATAATCTAATATAAGTTAATTTTATAACTTTATATAAAAGAAGTTCTTATTATGTGTAATAATTAAAATTCTTGAACGATTGTCATTTAATATGATAACTAAGAGCAGAATATTAATATTAATATTATTTGTATTAATAATGGAAAATAGATATACCAAATTGTGAGAAATTTAAAAGGAAGAGTGTAGATTTTATATTATTTTTATAATTAATTGCACTTACATTGCAAGTTTTTTATTATTTAAAGAAACGTTCCTTTTATGTAAAATTTTAACATTTGATTTATGTAGTTTTAAATCTTTTCAGTAAACTAAATAAAAGAAAAAAAATAATAGAAAAATACAGGTGAAAAAACCACATATAATTTCATTGAAATATAATATTATTAAAATTATTATAAAGTAAGTACTTTTACGTGAATATAATAAATTAATAATGCATTTCATTTGTGAATTATATATTTAAATCGAGCGTCCCGACACCCAAATGTGAGTTAGAAAGCTGATTAAATTACACTAAGTTGAAAACAATTAGCGAGAATTATGATGTACGGATTTAGTTATTCTAGAATTTAGATACAAACTACAACATTATTTTAATATTATATTTAATAAATTTATATCAAAAATATTAATATTTAATATTAAGTTGCTTTATACGTAAATGTAGCCAAGTGAATATATATATCACTCCGGCAAGGAAATTTAGGAATAAGGAACGAACGTAATTCAAACTATTGGGTATTGAATAGTGATATATATTGGTTATTGAAATGATGTATGTGAAATCATTTAATTTCGTTGGCTTTGTTCCGTTTTTCGCGTATAATTAATCTAAATTATTTCCAGTAATTATATCCAAAATGAACTCATTAGCGTTTTCATTGAACCAGCTCGCCAGCCCGAGACGGGAGCGCCGCCACATTATTTTTTTCATAACTAAATCGCTCCAGAAAAAATGCGCCACCAGCGGCATCTCTTAGCGGGTGAGGGAATTTTTCCCGCGTCGGTCATAACACCCGGCCACGTGCATTTGTTTTGGTTCGTTTTTTTTCTCAAAAAAAGATAGCATACATAAAGCTCACCTCGCCGCGTCCTAGGTGCGCCAAGCAAAATGGTTGTCGTTTTTTTCTTCTCTTTTCAGCCATCTGTCCGTCCTTTTCGGTCAAAAATGCGATCGTTATTTTCTGTTCCGGTACGAATGTGTGCGTTCGGCGGCCAGCGGCGAAGATATACGCCATTCGGCGTTGTACGAAAACGGTCCGTATTGAATGCTGTTAGAGTTCATTTTTGCGATAACGAAAAATTGTCTTACGTCTAATGGACGGCGGAGAAAAAATAGAAATATAGGAGGCACGGCATGCACGATAAAGAGAGCGGGAGTCGTTAACGATTCTGCGCCGGAAAGTTGCGCAGATTGCGTTTTTGGTGCTTTTTTTGGGGGCAGCGCCTCACACCAACGGGTGTTTTTTGTGCCTGTCTTTTTCTCTCACGCAGTCTCACTCCTTGGCGGCGTGCGTGTGTGTGGGTGCGAGTGTTTGTGGGTGGGTTTTTGTATGTGTGCGCGCCGGGGGCAAGCACCTAGTACTAGATTTTTGCGTGCAAATGTCCTAGATAGTTGGTCGCGTATATAGTGACTGTATATAATGAGATGTCACCGCTATAGAGCGAGTAAATAGAGCTATGCAATAACGCGGCAGGTTGCTATTCACGTTGATTAATCACAGGCTTACATAATTGTTCTATATAAAAATATATTCGCTGGCAAATAGTGACTGCATTTGGTACAATAAAATGGAGCGATGTTGGAAACCACATTTTGGGCTATTAGATAATTTTTGTTTGATTAAAGGCTTCGTTTCAGTTAATACTTTTCACGCCTACGGTTTCGCTCAATAGAATGTACGTTATAATAGTTTATCTAGGATAAAAAGATAACTTTGAAGCAATATTATAAAGAGTAGTTTTTATTTAATTGGTAGAATAAGCGATAGAATTATCGTAGAATACTTACTTTGAACAAATAAAATTTTTAAGACACGCAATGTAAAACATCGTATAATATTTTGTCGTCATTCACAATTAGAAAACTTTCTTAAATCTTATAATAAATATAATAGAATACACAACAACTAATGTCTATATATATGTTATAATACATATTCACATAAAGTACGAGTCTTATAAGTTGCTACGTATAATACTTAAAGTGATTGTAATAGGAAATACATACATATATATGTTTTAACGCCATCTAGTGCAGTTTTCCGTAAAATTTAAAATTCCCTATATTAAACTCAAAAAAGTAACCATGGCAACTGATTTTTGAGTCTGTTTAATTGAAAAAACGTTAAGAAACCCTTTTGAGGGCAGCGCCATCTATATTTTATTTTTGAAACTATTTTTAAATATAAAAATAATTGTATACAATATTTATTTTAATAATCCAAATGTTTTGTATGATCAAAACTATTTAATTTAAAAATCGTTGTCTAAACAGCAAAATACGAATGTTTCTGTTTTCGTTTAGCGACATCTCTTGTTGAATAGCCGACAAAAATGAAGTTTGTATCCTGAATGAGTGTGTAATGCTTAAACAACACCAAAGTTAAATTGTAAAAAGTAAATAATTAACAAAATTCTATAAAAATAATGAATATCAATTAAAATACTATTAAGTTTTTTTAATTTAATTTGTTAACTAAAAATTATATGTTAAACAACTTGTAAAATGTTAAATACACATAGAACCTAGTGACCTCTATAATTTTTTTGGGGAAGCTTTGTATGAGAAATATAAAAATTTAAATCTGATCTTTAATAAAAAAAAATGTTTTATATAAAATCCAAGAATTATAAGAAATTCATTATTTTATTATATGAATTCCCTCAGAATAGGTAACTAATCAAGATTATTTTAAATGATAATCAAATATGATTTAAAAATTAAATTTGGGTTAGAGTACTGTAGTAGTAATAAATAATAATAAACACGTATAAAATTAAAAGCAATAAGTTATTTGAATCTAATCACAAATTATTTTGAATGTTTGAAATAAAAATACATATGTTTTAATCCACTCCATTCAAATAAGACACAACTAGACAAATTTATATAGTCAGTCATGCTTAAGAGAAAAGTTTACATAAAAATTACCAGAGGCTTTTAAAGATATAATATAAAAATATCAAAAAAATAATGGAATATTAGATTTAGTTCCAATTGATAAACAAATAAATAAACAATGGAATATATTGAAATTATAGCAAAGCGAATCGAATAGTAATAAAATCGAAAATAATATCATTAGTAGGTGATAAATAAAAGAAGAACAGTGTATGTAACATATAGAACCATTTATGTGCAAGGCATCATAATAAATAAATACTTTTAAATACAAAATAAATTTAATATATTTTTTAAGTAATTTTAAAGACATTACATTCATCTCTATATAGTTATCGGATATTTTTTTTTATAAAATATTACCAGAATGTAGAGAAATATGTTTTTGTGTCATTTAACGAAATATTTATTTACGTAAAACGTATCGTTTCTCGAATAATAAAATAAATATTGATATGAATTTAAGCGCGTTTGTGAAAATTTCTCGTACGCTATAGGTACGTAGCTAGAATTTCATTTTAACCAAATTAAATATTTTACTATTTTCAAATATTTTATAACTACTTATATATGATGAAATTGAGATATGTTACAATTTTTTATTTCAGTTTAGATACTATTTTTTTAAAATCATATTTTACACTAATAGTGTCCTAATTTGTTTAAGTTCTATGAAATATGACAACTCAAGATCAAAGATACAAAAATTTATATGATTAACCATAATATGAAACCTACGATTAACTATTTCTGTTAGAGATTAGGTACATCCAAGAATTAATTTGCTTAAAGATTAGGTATTAGTCGATAATCTTCCTAATGAATTGAAATTATTTCTATACATATTACAGTAAAACATAAATTTTATTCACAATAACGTTAAAAGGTGTAAGTATAAATTTTCTTCGACCGTTTTTTTACTATAAACATTTGATTTTTGCTCTACTTTACTGGCAGGCGTCACGCGGTAAATGAAATTTAAAGATGTCAAAAAAGAATAATATTGGAATTGCTGTTTAAAAAAATAATAATAATAAAGATGTTAATAATTTTATACCTAATTTGTTTTATGTGATAAAGTAAGTTGTTAAATATTATTGTTTAGAGTTAAGACCTATGACTAACATTACCTTATACTAATACGCTGTCTGCAAAATTTTTATACATACTAACTTTATTTAAAGAAAATTCTGAAGTTGGAAATTTTATATTTTGGAAACATAATAAATCACACATAAACACATACACACACACACACACATACACACACACACACAAATAAATGCAGCATCAAAAGTTTTCACAGAAAAAGTCGCAAACGACATTAAAACTTCGACCATCTTTGTGTAACCCTAAGCTAAAATTACAAACCGTAATAATTTTTTCAACTTTTTATTTTCAGTACAAAGTTAATAGAATATAAATATAACTTTCTTCAAGATTTAGCAAATCCTTAATAAAATACATAGAAAGCATTGCTCTTTCAATAGGTTTTAACTATTCAACATACATAAAAAAGAATTTTTTGTTCGAGCGAAAAATATACCAATCACAGAAGGCCACTATATATACACAGTACAAAAGAAATAGTTCGCCCCTTTAATCTATGAATAGGCGAGGGTAGAACACATACAACTATGTGTTACTATTATGGGTGCATATTATTTACATTTATTAAGGATATAGTTATGTATTTAAAACATATATGTTTATATATAAAAAGAATGTATATTAGGTAATTACAAAAATTATTTAATTTAAATATAATATAAAATTTATACAGAATAATAAGTATTATATAAAAAACTCAAATTATTGAACTTATTTAAGTTTTAAATGTTTTTTTTTTACCTAGAAATGACTATGTAGTTACCGAGAACAATATTGTGAAAATACAATGATTTCCTAGTACTTAATAAAAACCATTGTACTTATATGCCTGCAATTTTATTTCTATTGAATAGTTTTGGTACATTTATAACAATAGCATTTTAATTAGCATTAAATTAATAAATAAATAAAATTATTTATGTTCATATAAGTACCTAATAAGTAAATACGATGAACGATTCACGAAAATATTCTTAAGACGAATGACAAATTAATAGATATAATATAAATATTTACTCTTGTGGTTTCAAATATAATATAATAATTTTTAACGAAGTAAACCTTTTAATCGAAGTCAGATTACTTTTAAATGTATCCTTTATATATAAGAAGAATAAATAAGGTATATAATAAATTAAGGTATTTAACCATGACAATTATTATTATAAACTTCACTCAATTCTTAATGGTTTCGATACAGTAAGTTTTTTTCTTAAACATCTCTTATATAAAATCCGTGAAAAAGCATAAATATTTTAACTAACTCTCAATTACATTTAAATGTACAGACATTAGTATTTGTTGCAATATTTGAGCTATGGATCGTAATTCAATAATTCCCATTCATAATAAAAAATTACATAAGCACTGTTTTGGCATATTAAATAAATGTCCAGAAATAACCCAATGTTTACAGAGTATACAATAAAGACATTTCGGTTTTCTAATATTAACAATTTATATAAAGTTTTAATTATAAATTAAATACAAATATACTATGTAAAACCTCATTAAATGCGTATTCTGTTGTAATATTATTGGATGGATGATACTTTAATTTTACTCTCGTATCACAAACAGCAGTAAGAATATCAGAAATCCTTGGCCATAATCGAAAACATCTACAAGGATATTTTAAGTTACATACATACAAAATTCGTGAATAAAACTTTTTTTACCCAATTCTATTACTTAAAAATATTAAGGTTGGATCAATTAAGTTCAGCTGTTTTTTCTCTATTTTTTAATGTCAAAAGAACGTTCTTATGACGATAAAAGGCATGAAAAAACACAAATTGTTATAAAAATGTCAAAGTTAAGACAAAATAAATTAAAGATAAAACTACCTAGTTTTTCAGTTTTGTCAATCACAGAAATTATGAGATTTTCAATGTCACTAAGATGAGACTCTCACTACTGAACCTTATTTTCCACAATTATATGAAAGAATATATACATTATTTTTTCATTTCCATACCGCGAGTATATTAACTTCTAAACGTA